AAGTAGAGACGGGGTCTCACTACATTGCCCAGGCTGGTCTCAAACTCCTGAGCTCAAGCAATCTTTCCACCTTGGCCTCCTACTAAAGTGTTGAGATTATAGCATGTGCCACTGTCAGGCTCTTTTGTCAGTCCATCAACCTCTGATATCCTCACACCAGACAGGACAGGGATCTGTACTGAATCTTTATTACAAAATTATAAAGCAGAGCTCTGTAACAAAATAATACACATTTGGGTTTGCTTTAACCTCCAAGTAAGTCTGAGAAATCTTAATATAAGCCACTTGAAGTAATAATTCACATCCAAGAGATTTCCACGAATTTATACAATGTATATTGAGCACTAGTTCCTGTACAGCTTATTCTGATTAGTTTGGATCCAACTATTCCAAGGTATTGTGAACCAGTCAGCTGTCTTTTGAAACAAGTCTTAACTGAAATCTCAGAGCAATCACAGCAAAAGCCACGGAATAATTGTAAAAATTAGATGTTTCCATGATAATTAAAACCAAGGATCCATGAAGGGCAGGAGGGAGGATTTAAAGATTTTAAAAAATCAAATTTTAGACCTTGGTTAAATATTAACTGGAATGGGATCCTGGAACTCCCAACTTTAAATTGGTGTAATAAAAATGATACCAAAAAAAAATCAGAGTGGTTTGACACCTTTTTTCCTAAATGGAAACCTTCACCAAAATGGGATAAAAGATTTAAAGGCAAGTTCTTTCTCCAAAATGAGTAAATGACCTCAGTTTTAATTCTTACTGAGGTACTTAATTAGCTATCAGTATATTATTTTCGGTTTGTGTCTAGGAGGGAAACTGAGGAGGGGGTAAGGCTTCAGCAGAGAAAGCAGGTTGTAAATAGCCAGCTTCTGCCTTTAAGTTGCTACTAGATTTTAGCTGAATAGCACATACATAGACCTGTTTCACAGAGAAATTGAGTAGCTGAATGAATTATCCTTTGCTAAATTGGTAGGCATTGTAAACTATAGTATTTACTGCCCATGAGAAAAGTGAAAAGGGATGTCTTCATGA